AAATTTATAGCTGTTAATGTAATATATAAATATTACTAAATTATATTACAATATTAGTTTGTAAAATTGCTTAAATACAATGGGTTAAAAGTAATTTAATAAAAGTAACATTATAGGTATTGCCTATTTTCATTCTTTTTTCTTCTTTCTTTTTCTTCTTATTTTTTTTTTTTTTATTGTTAGAAATTTTTTTTTAAACGATTAAATTATCCCTAATTACACAGCAGGTGGCTTGGCGTTTTAGATGTGAAAAGGTCCGTTTAAAAGAATTTTAATTAGTTAAGTGAAAATGAAAAATTAATTAAATCACTTCTTTTTCTTCCCTTTTCATCATCCTATTTTGTTTGCCTAAATTACTTTCCTCAATCTATTTATTCATCAAAATTGATAATTCAATTATTGCTAGATCATTTTGAGTTTTTTTTTTTTATTAAATTGCTATTGTTTTATCCGCTGTTGTTGTTTTTGTTGTTATTGTGATAATTAATGATGCATTTCAAATCATTTTATTACAATGGAAATATTTGAATTTACAATAACGAATAGTTAAATGAAAAAAAAAAAATTGATTTATTGCATGAATAAAGCTTATCATCAATTGCGCTTATTTAACAATAAGTATAATCTCTTTGGACATTGTATATTCAACCTTTTCATTTCTTCCTACTTTTTATTGACATGAAGGAAAGACAAACAGTCAATTTATGATTCTTCAGGAATGAAATCAATCCAATTTATCATGCAAAGCTATAAAAATATGCATAAAAATATTTGGATACAATAACGTAAGAAGTGTACAAAATCTATTTTGTGTAAGTCATCTGAATTGGACCGTATTCGCTAAAAAGTTGATCGGTATCTTCATATATTCCATATAAAGATGATCCTACCATTCCTGCACCAGCAATCGGCATTTGCGGAACTTGATATTGCGGATACTGTGGGACTTGTGGCATCTTCGGTTGTTGCGGAAGTTGAGGCTGTTGCGGAAGTTGAGGCTGTTGCGGAAGTTGAGGCTGCTGCGGAAGTTGAGGCTGCTGCGGAACTTGAGGCACTTGCGGAACTTGGGGCTGTTGCGGGACTTGAGGTTGTTGCATAGGATATTGGTATAATGATTTTTGAAACGGAAATGGACACCACATTAAAGGTATTTGAAATCCAGGGTATTGGTACCTTGGTTGTGCTGGTGCTGGTGCTGGTGCTGGTGCTGGTGCTGGTGCTGGTGGTTGTGCTGGTGGTTGTGCTGGTGCTGGTGCTGGTGCGGGTACTTGCGGATACTGTGGGACTTGTGGCATCTGGGGTTGTTGCGGAACTGCTGCTGGTGCCCTAGGTGGGTAGCAAAATGGAGGAATCATTGGTGGACCAACCCACATCTTTCCCTCGCCACCTAATTGTTCGAATGTGAGACCTACAATGTATCATTGGTACCCATCAAAAATGAAGATACAATTTCGTATTTTACCTCAATTACTTTTGTATTTTTAACAAAAAATTTTCATGAATTTTCTTAAATTTTTGAAAAAAAAACTCTCATATTGATTTTACTTTTCCCTGCATCCACAATTAATGACAAATATTTCTCCGTGCATAGAATTTTGTTTAATAATTGATAAAATTTAATCAATTGTTTGCTTGAATTATATCAGGTCGAAAATGCTTATTTTTATCTGTCTTAATTATCATTTTACCTGGTAAAACTTCGATGTAACATTGTGTTACTCCTGGAAGAAGTATGAAAAGAATCCATCTCAATGAATAATTCATTATTGCTTGCAACTTGATTAAGCACGATTCAACCACTAAATTATGTTATCTGCTATAATTTGATATTAAAAATAAAGTTACACATTAACAATTTTCATGCAACAATAAGACAATTAATACAATAATTACTTTC